ATGTTTTAATGGCAATCCACATATACGAATGACCACTGTGCTTAGGGCCTAAACCTGAAGATTAATCCTATGACTTAGGGGTCTTCAGAGATCCATGATCTAGACTGAAGACATAGTGAAATTTTTCTTATTTCCTGGGTCATTACACGAGAGGAGTTCCCATGTCTTGGCTTACACTTATCAATAATCAAATTGAAAATGATTGTATTTGAAGCACATCATTTTCAGGTACTACTGTACATAGGCATTCCTTATCTGTGAGGCACAGAGGCAGATGCTTTCCATGTAGAGGGATGACAAATAGAAATATATCATACAAATCTTCAAATGCATCACATTCATCATTCATAATCTGATTTCTTTTTCACACGTCACAAAGAAAATGGATAGAACACAAAACGTGGCCACAGGATCTGCATTCTTAACGTTATTGCCCAGAAGTTTATACTTGAAAGTAAGTTGCGAGACTTCAAGATCCCAAACTTCTGTCTTTCCCCTCTCTCCATCCCTCCCCCGCCCGAACCATGTCACTTGCAGTCCTGTTCTGAGAATCAGGAGATCGCATCTGAAATGGTGCCACCTTCACAGAAATCCCACTATTCTGGAATTATACCATCTGCTGCAGCCCAAGTGCTCTTTTTTTAGCCAAATAAGTTAATTATAATTAGGCATCCAACAACTGTGTGGAGGTAGGGGTAGAATTCGTTCTGAAGTTCAGATGAGGTTCACCCAGTGCAGTTTGAACCAAATCCCATTCTTTCAGGAAGATTAAATACCGGAGATTTGAAAACCAGACACCATCATTTTTCAAAGAAGTTGGGGAACTCCCTGGGGAAATATCTTCAATCTCAACCAGAACTCTTTTCATATGCCCATCAAATAAAACCTGATAAAAAGGTAGCATCAGACACCTTTCGTATCGTGCCAGATTCTAACGCAAGGTGCATCCTGCAAGACACAGGAAGGACCCGAGCCTTTTGGGCCGGCTGGTCAGTGCAGCCACTGCTGCAGGTGCTACAAGGGAGGCATTTCTGAGTCATTGCCTCTAACACTGCTCTCCAACCAGGTGAAGTATTGTCCGATCATTGCTAAAAGTATACTGTTGTCCTTTTTGCAAAACAACAAAAACAATGTTAATCAGGTTAATTCAATCATCTAAACCAAAACTGTTCATGCTTTTCTGCCAAATCAACCAACCACAGCAAAATCTGTTATCAGTGATTGCTCAGCTTCCAGTCAAAAAAGCTTTTAACCCCCACAGTCCCAAAATTTCCCCTAAATAACCTTAAAATTATTTTTATATGGGCAGAATTAGGTTGTTTTCATGCCTCATGAAGGGGTAGTTGGGCTGCAGTATTTACACAGAACAAATACATGCGAACAGACTTAGCAGAGAGTAACAGACACAGCAGCTTCCTAAAACAACTCTGCTGAATTAGATATTGGGGATTCCTTTGCAAATGAAACATTTCCCGCAAAAGGAGCACTGTAACCAAAACTTATATAGGCCTTCCAGGTTGTTTAACTAGGAAAAAAAAAATCCAAGCTTTTTTGCAACTCATTCACTGGTGTTTAAAGCTTCAAGCCTGCTTGGTGGAAGGGGCAAGGGCTGCAACAACTTATTTACACAATTATCTAAATACGATTAAACAGCTGATGGACAAATATTAAACTGGAAAATGTATAGTCATTTCAGCTTAATGTAATCCTCTTTCTGTAAACACCCAAGATGATTTTTTTTCAACCAGAACAGTCCTGACATCTCATAAGCCTAAGGGTGAATAGCAAGAGATTGTTTTTGATAGTTATAAATATTCAAAAGACATGCAGACCATCTGCTTTCATAATACAGGTAAAGCAAGACTGAAATGGTGACTGCTGTATAAAAATGGTTCTTTTAACAAAGTCTTCCTCTCCTCGAAAACTATAAAGACAGATGTCAAAAACTGTTTACACAGGGTAATCAGGAGCGTGCAAAATGTAATATTCCTTTTACACACAGTGCTTGCTAAAGACATTTTTTTTTCTTTTTCTTCCCATCTGTGTGTTGCAACACATTTCTACAAGTTAAAAACATTTTTTCAAACAGAGATCTCATGAATACCCAAAAACATGCTATCTGGTTTCTGAATGCTAATTAATTTCAACTAAGGAATCTGATTTTTTTTCTGTAGGAAGGAATGCATGCTTTTGAAATGGAGTACTTCAACAATAACAGATACTGAAAACAGAACACCCCACAAGTTTAATTTTGCACTAGTTTGACATTGGCTATTTTCACAACTGTTTTACATTCAAACCCGCATCTGCTAAATCTGGCTGTAAGACAGACAGCAACTATTCTCCTGCTTTTCAAATGAGATTTTATTTATGTTTTACTATTTATCAAGTTTTTCAGTATAAAGCCTTGTAACAACATAATGGTTTTGTCAAGTGGTAAGTAGA